AGTATCGAGTTTTTTGTATACATAGGTATTTATTTATTTTTTAAGGAAACGAAAAAACTGAAAAGATTCTTGGTCAGTATAAATGTGGATATTACGTATCCAGCATACAAGAAAATTATGGAAAATTTAAAAAAAAATAGCACTTTGAAGTTTGAATATAGATTTTATTGAAAAGAATCAGGAAAAAAATTAATTTTTGGAAAAGCTAGTTTATGTGGTAACGGTACATTTACCGAAAGTGTATGTACATGAAATATGAAGTTGATTTTTCAATTAGAACTTGAAGTATCGTGTCAGTCATTTAAAAAAATATGATTTCGAGAAAAACGCGTTTAAAGCTTTATACATTTGCACGTTGCGAGTTGTGTGTCGTCTTCTATAAAACATTTGTAATTTCATTAAGTTTACGAATTTGTACAAATCTTTCTGTACAGATTCTTTTCACAACCTATACTTTTAGAGAATGAAATAAAAAAAAAATCGATTTTTCGAAAGGTCTAAACCAGAATACCCTAGAATACGTAATTTATTGTCCACTGATTTGAAGCCATTGTACGAATGAACGCGATTTCCTTTCTGTACCGAAGGACACTATCAATCTTTCGTGTCGTCGACTTTCGATAAAAATATCAATGGACAACAATGATCCCGATTTCGTCGGGAGGTACGAATGCTTCACGTTTCAATGATCGTTGAAATGGTGGCCCAGATGTACAACGGAGTTATAGAATTCTACTAACGTCGACTTAAAGAATGAACTTTTGAAAGTCCTTGCTGTTATGAAACTTCTGAATAACCGAGCTTTCATACTTCGTTGAATATGAAGAATCGTGTTGAGATTTATTAGATTTTTTTACGAGGCTCGTGTCCATGAATAATACCTCATTTATGTCTCCGTCGGAGTTTTCTTTTTTTTTCTTTTTTTTTTTTGATGTTACGCGTTGCATACAAAGTGTGTGGTTTCGTCGTGAATTTTCATTATTTATATTTGTATAAGTGAGAACAAGGATTAAATAGAGCACTCTTTTAACGGAGTAGTAGAAGTGAGGATCGCACACGTGCTCTTAACGTGACTTGAATTTCTATAAGGCACTGCGACCAGTCAAACGCAACCTAAAACGGATCAATTTCTATTTATTTCAGTTTCAATTGATACAGTCATTACGCCTTGAGGTGTTGCATATAATTCCGAAACTACCGTGATAATTAATCGGAACTATGTTAATGTTAATTACATAAGGTACGATGCACGGTAGAATTGTTTAAAAAAATATACTATAATACGTCAAACATTAAATACAGCACACTGTAAATTGCTGAAGTTTTGTAGCGACAGTATCCGTCGGTTTTTCAGAAAACGGCGTTCCAATTTAGCATAAGAAAGGGCCCTCGACGTTCTATGCATTCGTTACCCAGCTGAGGGCTTTCTATTCTTATTGTAGCTAAATATATTTCTCTCGGTAAGGTACATTTTATGTCAGAAATACTTTTAAATTGTTAGGAAATTTTCATTTATCTCGAGTTCCGTTAGATATATACAGTTAAAAAAATGATAAAATAATCTGTGAAAACACCGCCTTTGAATTCATTAAGTATAAAATATTTTGGAACGATACCTAATAGAAAAACAGAAATTAAAAAAGGCTTCTGAGATCGTCGACTAAAATCATGTAGACATTTTGTTACGGTTTATTTCAATCTTAATGATGTTGTAAACTTTAATACAACCAGTTAGAGAATCACGTAGTCGCTGCAGGACATCTTAAATAATACGCTTCTGTTCTAACAGACGGCGAGTGATTTAATTAGAACGAACTTCTTAGTGTCCAGGTGTGTTAACGATGTTCATGAATATAATTACAAGTGTAAAGTTTCTTCCGACATTATACAAGCATAATAATGAAGACTGAGTTTTAATAAAGATTGTATTTCCTTTATATGTAATAATCGATACAGATGTAATCGAATTAAACTGGAATATTTTCTACTTTGATGCAATTAAAGAGTCGCTAAGTATAATCAAACGATTTCGCCATTAAACAGGAATTGCATTGTGATTTATTATCCTCCATCATTTTTAGTTAGATTACGAATGTTGTTTAACAAGCTAGATGTTTCTTGCATATCTGTATTAAGGGGTTATGCCTACTTGCGTGATCGAACAAAGACATGTACTTTCGGAATTTATTTTTAAAAAACTTGAGGACTTTTTCAAACACACGTCGTTTTATTCGAAACATTACATTTTAAAGTGCTTATAGTAATTTCTTCAATGCAAAATACGAATAAATAGGGGAAATATCAGCGATCTCCTGGCAGCGTTTTCATTTTTGGCGGTTTACGGTGACCACTGTAACTTCGAGTTCGTTTATCTGAAATAAAAAATTCGAGCAAATTTAGTTAGTACATATATTAAATTATCTAGTGCCCGACCGTTCATAATCCTGAAAAAAACTGCGCAACGAATTAAAAAAAGCCACGATCAGGCTATAGATTTGTATATACAGAATGAGTCTACCAAAGCTGAATCGTCTATTCCAGGCCCATTTAGTAGGCCCTCAGCACTACTTGCAGCTTCCAAAACTCCGCTTTGTGCCTGCCTACGAAGCGTTTTTGCCTCTCGAGTGCTCTGTTGCGCACGGCGATCCGAAATCTTGATGCGCGCAGCATCTTCCCTTTTAGCATATCGGTGAGCATTCGGGCCAGTGCATGCTTCTATAGCATGAATGATCTTCAATAATACTACAGTGCCTTCGTTAAATATACCGACAGCAATATAAGCAGCTAATTTGATGGGAGTATTGCCACTCGGTGTAATTTTTGGGGTAATCTTCCATATGAGTTGGGTGAAATTTTCATTATTATTCTGCGCGAAACCGCCAACGCATCGTTCTAACAATTTAGTTTTATTTTTTAACAATTTAGGTTTTCGTAAATTGGTTTGATTGCCGTTAAAACATCTTTCGGTAAAAGCTTGTAATTATGCGTGAACGATTTTAATGTGTCCCCCACATTAGCGTGCTGTCAAGCGCACCAGAATGCAGCTTCAGTAATGGTAATACGTAGACCTCATATTTTCAACGGATCCACAATTTCATCGTATTTCTCAATCGTAGTAAACGGTTAATTTATCGATCATTTTTCCCGTTAATTTTCCCTTGCCGTCGAGACATTTGTTTTGCTGTTTACATTCTCGTAACCTACTGCTATATCATATATGTATACTATGAAATAGAAAATGTGACATATCCGTAAGCCAGCGAAACTTCTGTGCACCTTTCAATCCTAGGCCTAGAACTCTCATTGTAAATGTAAAACGTCTATTTATTTCGTACGTATTACCTATAACAGAGCACGAAAGAATATTGCAAGCCGGGCATGAATCACACAGGACTACAATTTTGAATCCTAGCCCTTTACACTGTTTACAATTGACAAAGGCGGAAAGTGTAACAAAGACATTTATATAATTTAAAATTCTATACTCAACAGAATTATCTTGAGGCACAATTATCTTCTCTTGCATTTTAATATTTTTTCCCGATGTCCTAAAACTACATCACACACAAACAATATTGGACTCACAGGTTTTCCTTTTAGTGACCTCGACTTACGCACATTACCAAACTTTCTTAACTCTCGAGATCCGTTTTTATCTGATCGACCCATGGTGGTTTAAAACTCAGAAGATTGCAAAGCGATAGAGACTGCGATAGAAAGTTCGACTGTACTGCTTGAAAGCTTGGTGTCAACTATTATATTACTAAAAGGTCCATTATTCTTAGTACGTATGTATTACATAAATTGCATTGGGCAGTATTTATGACTCACGCATCCGTAGAAAGGGATTCCTTTCGTGCACGATACAGCTGACACTTTATATCTGTTCCGAAACTTCCACGGCCATATACTTTAAACGGACGTAAAGCCGTCAATTTTGGTCGGATCAACTTCAAACTTTCACACAATATTTCTAAAATGATGTACTGTAAGAAAATATTAAAAGCCCAAAAATCGATTTTCTCCAAATTTATATACATATGTATAGGTAGATATAACCCCTTAAGCATAGCATGCAATTTATATCGTTAATATTTTTGGTGAATCTTTCGTCGTGTAATCGCGAGTAAAATAAATTGATTAATTAAATTGAACAATATTCTGGTTCTTAAATAAACTGGAGGAGTTTCTGAACAATTTTGGAATTCTCTTATAATTAAACGAGGCAAAGCAGTTTTGTTTATTGAAATATTGGGACCAATTTAAACAGTATTTATGTGTTCGAGTGTTAGTACTGTTAATATATTCCATTCGTTGAATTATTGTTCTTATTAAAGAATGCTAAAAAGGCTGCTCTTTACTCATCAACTCAATTTGTGTTTTACATTACGAGAAACCGGGGGAAATAGTTCGTTATACGAAACGTAATTACATTTATGTTATATTAGCTTCAGCTGGAAATGTATTCATTACAGGCGTATATACAACGAATAAAAAATTAAAATCAACATCTACCGGAACGAGGAAAGTCAGCATAAACTCGAGCATATAGAAATGGGAAGATTTATTCATTTTTGAAAATCATGCGAGTAACAGAACATTAATGGAAAAGAACGTACGATAGAATTACACAATCCCAAAACAAATCGAATGTCAACAACGAGGAATTGTTAACAATGTCACGACCAGTAGAAACGTGTCGTAGAACTGAATAAAAAATCTCAGATCAGATAATAAAATACAAATTGCTACATAAATCCGACATAAATCGTACGAGACAACTGGAACGAAGGTTGCCTCTCGTTCTAAAAATAGCCTCGTTAAACAGACCAGGCTCCAGCTAGAATTTTTGTAACAGACTGAGATACCAATTTAAGAGTACTATTCAGTACAACAGCAACATCTCGAATGCGTCGGTGAAATTGTTCGAAAATCCGCGGGAAAGAACAGTGTCGTTGCGATTCAGCGTCAAATCAAATCGTTCCTCGTTGTGATACATGATGCTTCAAGAGATGGAGACCGCCTGGGACAACGTTCTAACAAACTTCACGACAACCTCGAGCTCGTTGCAGAACAACGTCACGCAGAAATCCGTCGAAGACTGGGATTATAGTTTCGATCGTCAGCAAGTGGAGAGGATCGTAGTGGTGGTGGTGCCAATATTTTTCGGGATGATCGGTATCCTTGGATTCGTCGGTAATTGCTTGGTGGTCACCGTTGTCGCGGCGAATCCGGGGATGAGATCGACGACGAACATTCTGATCATCAATCTTGCGGTGGCCGATCTGCTGTTCGTCATTTTCTGTATTCCGTTCACCGCGACCGACTTCGTGCTACCGTTCTGGCCGTTTGGCAACATCTGGTGCAAGATCGTTCAGTACCTTATCATCGTCACTGCCTACGCCAGTGTTTACACTTTAGTCCTCATGAGCCTAGACAGGTGAGTTTATGTTTCATAGAAGATTCCCTTTTATCCTGCCCGCGATGCATTCAGGGGTTTTGCCACTGTGAAGCCCTGAAAACTGTCATTCTTTGGGAATTTTTGTTCAGTGAACGAAATGTTCAATATGTGTTGTTTATCAATACAACCCTCCCTCAATTTTGTTACGAATGCTATGGTTAGATTTTCTCCTAGACCCTTAGTTTTTGAAATAAATTGAAGAGTACCAGTGCCCTTTTCACTTTCATCATTATTTAAACATATTTATATGTCTATAATATAATAACAATTTACATTGTTTTGTTCGCGAGAGTCCAGAGAAATATTTTACGTCAAAACTAACTGAATAACTATTACCGTAAAATCAGAACACTCTTCCAAAGTTGAAAAATTGCAATTTAAATAAAATGGATTTTTTAAAGACCCGGACGTGCTGGAAAGAAACGGTTTCTTCCAGATTTGTATTCAGCTCATACATATCTATCAGAAACGTCTCTTAAGAGTTATATGGTATTTAACGCGTTGAACAGTGTAACAGACGTGGTGCAAGAAATTATTCAATAGTTCGTAATATTCGAATGAATCAGTTCTGCTTATGAATCTTACATGCACTGAGAAATAAACCGAGTGCATGTACTGTCAATGTGCAAATTTCATGATACGGGAAAAGTATTTCTCTTTAAGAAACGTAGTTGAAATAAACTTCTAAGTAGACGGTGCATATTTATGGAAATTCTCGTTTTTCTAACTCTCATACTGTTACGAATAATGTGCGAAGTTCGCTAAAGTTCTTCTTCGTCTCTGTATTCCACGGCTGCAAACAGTATAAATACATAAAATTCGCATTCCACGTACATAAGCAAACGAGATGGATATTCAGTAATCCTTTGATCGTCGGCAATATGATGAAACGTACTCAGCGAAAGCTGCTGTATAACAAAACTCGATTCTCAATGTAACACGCGGGGATGCAACCCATTCCTGCCCCATAAATATCAGCAGTATTTCCGGTTACATTTCCAGGTTACCCGCGTGCCGTAGTAGGTAATACCGGCTACAGAATCACGTGCTGCGCTTGTAAATGTCACACGTACGGAAGAAATCTTGACTCTTTTTCGAAACGTGTGATACGTTTATTTTCTATTTCGTGGCAGAATTTTCTTCGGGTCGTATTGCGTTCCTTGTCTTCGATTTTATTGCCTATCTAGAGATTTTACTGCCTATTGCAGGGACGCAATGATTGTTCTGTCAGTTGTTCTTCCATTACAGACGACAGAAGCTTTGGGATTTCAGCAGTTTTTATTTATTCCGTCGTTTCCACGTTTACTTCTGCATAGAAAGTGTGAATAATAGAAGGACTTTTTGGTAAAAGTACGTCCCCTGAGGGAGTCAAGTCTGAGGTTCAATTTGAAGTACATAAGGTGTATCGTACAGTTAAAAACTTATTCTCGAATTAGTTAATAAATCATACGTACCTGTTTCAGCCTTGGTATAGTTTCCGTGTCCATGAGCTTACAATTAACAACTAGGTTAATCGCGAGTCCTCAGTAACCTGCATAATTCAATCTGTTGGCTTTTATCCAACTCAATTACCATGAATGATTGTCCGTTCATTGCGCTGGGTATATAATTCGTGGAACATTTTGGAAATAAACATGTTCGTCACACCTGATCGGAAAATTATGAATAATATTGACAGGTAAACGTTACATCAAAATATTCGATGCTGTTCTTGTCATTTTAGGAACTATACGCGTCTATCGTTTTATGTAATATAATTATAACCAGAAGAGTATACATTACCATTCACAAGTGCCTGGTCACAGTACATACAATGTCGATGTTAGTTAGTACGTTGCTATTTTTCAGTAAATAAGACTATCATTTCGTCTGCTATTTACAGAATTGAATAACTTCTTTGGGTAATTTTACAATAGCATCAGGACCTCTTATTGTTAATTTTTCTTTAGAACTTGAATTCGCAATCTCTGCCACTGTTAAACTTTTATTAATTCTAATCGAACGCCTGCATTGTCTTCCTGACATGCTTTTTTGTTTCATATGACTGATATTCGTCTAAACGCATGAAAGTACAACGGAAGCTAGGAAAAGACAACTAAAACTTTTTCCTTTTGTATACAGCGTGAGTCAATAAGAACTACAATATTATCTCAAAATAACGCGTTACCTATTGATTGTATCAGAAAACGCTTTAAATGAATTATGTAGCATTTTTTTTAATATTACAGTTCGAATATTTCTTATATATAAAGATACTTACCGAATTCGTCTTGAAATCCTCTAACAGATAGGCGTAAAAAAAGTATAGGTGCATTTGCAAAAAATTAAAGGTGACCTTGAAAAATCATGAAAAAAAAGAGTTGACAAAAAATTTGCTATAATCACGTTAAAGCTCTCTTGAAACCATGCTATACCTAATAAAAACATTTTCGATCGGACTGCTAATAACAGAGTAATCTCTACTGATCACGATTCGTGGTTCACTCTTAGGTATCAATCTTATAGAAACATGCATTTTACTGTTGCAGGTATTTAGCAGTAGTTCATCCAGTCACCTCAATGTCTTGGAGAACCGAGAATCGTGCGATCCTCGCCATTTGCATCGCCTGGGCGATGATCTTCGCGATCTCTACGCCTGCTCTTGTTGTTCACGGAGAGGTATGTGATTTATATAAGTTTTTCCAAGTACGGTATTCTCTTCTTATAACTGCACTTTATTGACCTTTTCATCGTCATGCTGCTAACTGAAAAGAAATGGGCTTACTTACGCCCAGTCAACTGTAAGAGAAAAAGACAATGACAATTCGGAGAAAACAATAAAGAAAATTAACATCGGTCAAGAAAACTGTCGTAGAATCATAGCCACTGCTCTTTATAATTGCGTTGCTAGTGCCAAACGGTGTAACTATACAAAGGGAGTACTGTAAATTTCTTTCAAATTAGATATCATTACAACGATTTGTATGTAGTACATGTATTTATACTTTCGATCAGTACAACGATTAATATTCGTTCTGCCCATTTGAATACGTTATTTATTCACGCTTTTATTGTTTTTATGGTAAACACAAATTTTTTCACTTTCTTTCGTCTTCCATTAAAGGACATTCGAATCAGAATAAATATTTTCAGCATTTTATTGTTCCACACGCAGCCAGTCACAGTTTGCTCTGAATCGCATGAATGTAAAAAATTCTGTCCGGTTCAATTCGATTACTCGTTATGGATCGTATTGATACGCGCAACGAGTGGATTTCGATACTATAAAATGATTTAAGAACTCAATAGCCCGAAGAGCGCGGTATTCGACATTCCGCTTTTCGTTTGGACTCGACGGGAACCTGTGAAAAAAAAAGAAATACCGAAATGAAAACTGCACTGGGAACAGAAGCGTACGGTCCGTTTCATTTGTACGGGGGAAACGAGGATCGCAAAAATCACTTATTCAATACTTCGCTCTAATTAATACTTGGAAATGTCGGGGAAGAAAGTGATCGCCAAGTTGCTGCAAAACTAGCTCAAATTGAAGTCGATGGGAGGAAGACCCACCGATACCGTCTATCCCGTAATTCCCCAATGACGTTTCTCACGGTAATTACTTTCGAATGAAACGAACGGAGCCATCCAAGCAACTCTAATCGTTCATACTCGACGTTTGATATAAAGCCCCGTAAAGGTACAAGTAATACGTCTCAATGGTTCTTCTTCCGATTGCACGGGTCGTGATTAACCCTCTATAACCTAAATTAATGTTTATTATTCAAAATAATTTTTTTTGTATAAAATGTTTTTCGAACACGTGAATCTTTTCAATTTTTAAGGTTTAATTTTTTTTAAAACTGGTTTTTTCTCAAGATCACGCTAACCAGTAGTAAATCTGCAAATGTGTAGCCAAAGTGTAATTTTCAAATTGCATTAGTCAATTGTGAAGAACAAAATATTTTCATATGTTTAATAACGGTGAAACTATTATGTGATTTCAAAGTTACACCAGCCAGTAGAGGGTTAAACAATTTTACAGCCTGGTAACGATATCGTTTTTGTTATATTCTCAGACCTTACCTTTCAATCGTCACTTTTGAATAAGATAGTAATTTACATTCTGTTTGCACTGTGGAAAACCCAATCGATGTGTTGATGAGGATAATTGTAATGAATATCCACTTATTAGTAATTGATCAAGGTATTTTCGGTTTATGTTGTTGACAGTGAAATGACAAATATTAGCGATCATATGGCCGCATTCTCGCGTATCTTCTGCAAATATCGTTGAATTCTCTCTAAACACAGAACTCATTATTTCATATTATACGATTTCAACGGATCCAGTAAACGAGAAGGGTACAATAATCTATTCATACTGAATTACGATTGTATTTCAGGTCTGTGTATGTAACGCGTGTCATTTGTCACATCCACGCAGATTTGCGAACAACGATTTGCAATTTGTAAATCTATTGAATGTGCGATGTGTCATAAACGAAATATTGGTCAATACGTGCTCCGTAATATAGAAATCCTGGTACCAAATATGCAAAAACCTCCAGACAGCTGGGTACAATAGAACCTTGATTATGCGAACTAATATGGAGACAAAACCATTCTGATAAATGGTACTTTCGGCTAGTTTTGGTCTAGAAGATTCACAATTTAATATATCAATAAAAATAGATGATACGAACAAGAAAGCAAAAATTGTAATATCCCCCCGGATCTTAAAAGCGCTCACTGTCGACAAAAACCATCGAAACACAATAAAGTTTCTCAAATTAGTTAAATTATTCAAAGAAATATAAACCAAAGGCAAAGCATATTGTTCCGTAATACCAAAATATTAACGCAATGAATACAATAATATAGTATATAAAACAACGTATATAAAAAAAAAAAATAGATGAAAAAATATCATCTTTGTCCACTCGTTCCGTGTTCCGATTTCATTCTGCAGTTTCTTTTATTTTTACTTTTATCCTTTGATTCGGCTTTACTAAACACTGACAACGAAAGTTATCGAGATGTTAAATTAGTTTTGAAAAAATAATGTTTGGAAGTTATAGGACTCGACCTCCTAAAAACTGAAGTAAGCATCACTCGTCCGGAAAATTCAGCATCGGCCAGAAAAATGACGTTAAAGTTCGTCGTAAGCAACTCTGCAATAGATATACATATACCATATGTAGATATACATATATAAATTCAAATAGAAACAAAATAGAATGTTCCTCTGAATTTTTTGTTTGGCGGCGCAGAAAATTCTAAAAGGTCGTTCGATCAACGGCGTGGACATTTTGATGAAGGTGAACAAAAAGGCCATGTTGGTGTATTTTGTTTCTTTTTGAATTATTGTATCTACATGTATCCAAAAGAACCTAAAGAGTCAACTAAATTATATAAAGAAATTAATTTAGGCCATTTTGAGAGCTACTTATAATAGACTTTGACGCCATTTTTCTGGCCAATACTGAATTTACCAGAGGAATGACGCTTATCTCACTTCTTGAGTGTAATGTCTCATAATTTCAACCCACTATTTTCTCATAATTAATTCAATATCTGGGTAACTTTTCTCGTGAGAAACATCTTGTAATTTAATGTTTGTTTGGTTTTTTTATTTGACGGTTTCTTAAAAATAATAAATAATTCTTATATAAACATATTCTATAACATTCTTCTACGAAACATTTAAATATTGGTTTCGAACATCGTGTTGTTCATGCAATTCTAAGTTTTCTTACGTTCCGCGGAGAATATTTTCCATAGCGCAACTGATTCGATCACGATCGTGAAATGCACGTTCACCCGACTATCTATTTCTCAACGAGAATACAGCCAAATACCGCCCCTTTGTACAGGGTGTCGCCAAACTAGAGGTACAACCTGAAAGGAAGTGATTTTACATGCAAAAATAAATCGAAAATTTAGAATAACATTTTTTGGTACAATGCTTCGTTTTCGAGATAATCCAAATTTGAAAATCTACCGAATACGCGTGCAATTGGATAGTACTTGTAGCTAACACGTCTTTTCATTACATTCCGTTTCTCCTTATTATCAGTACGAATATAAGAGTTAAATAAATGTTGAAATTTCATTATCCTGGAAATGAAGCATTATGCGAAATAAATTTTATTCTAGCATTCATCTAACATGTACAGTACCGGGCAAATGAACTCGAACACATTTTTCGTTTTGTTTGTTGTTATGGCGATGTTACAAAAGTTCCGCTCTGTGGAGTGTTTACTCTTAGTTCGACGCTAGCTTTCATAAAAGTTACACATAGATACCTACATAGTACAAAATATAAAATAAGTTATATCTATATTTACCTGGACAAAGGTATTTGGACGTTTCATTTACAAGCATAAATGGTAAAAGCTTGTATTACCTCCAAAAGTATGCGTCATCCGAAAAATTGTTATCCTACGATTTTGATTTATTTTTACACGTGAAGTCACCTTGTTGTCGTGTTGTACCACCAATTCGGAGACAGCCTGTATATGTAGATTCGCTTTAGTTTCAGGACATGGATGGCTCGTCGTCGGAGAACCTGACGGCTTGTCGAATCCTACCACAATATGATTGGCCGTTCTTCCAAATGTCGTTTTTCCTGATGAGCTACCTGCTGCCACTGATGCTGATATGCTTCTTTTACATTTGCATGCTCGTCAGGCTCTGGCGCCGCTCCCGCGTCAGCGCCGAGAGTCGACGGGGAAGAAGACGTGTAACGAGGCTGGTGCTCGTCGTCGTTGGCGTTTTTGCGTTTTGTTGGTGTCCTATACAGGTTAGTATTACGCAGGGCTGTTTAACAAGCAACGAAAGCGATAACACTCAACGCCTGGTCGACTGCTCTGAAACTTTTGCGAACATCCTTGCTATACACGAGCATAGATTGTTCGAAATTCTTCTGTAAATTTTGAGTTTTAATTCTTTAGGTATAGAATTTCATGGATGAAGTATCGAATGTTTCTTTTCTATTCAAAATTTTCGTAATTTGCGTATGATTTATTTTTGAGGAGGTGAAGTTTATTCAATGGATGAGATAAATTTCGTTTTAGTGTACGGGAGTATACATTGTAGTAAATAAACGCCGATATGTTAATTGTAGTTTTTACACGAACATAATTTTCTTTCAAACGATGAAAGTGGAATATAAAAGAAATCAAATTTTACCGGTAGTGTCGTAAATGTTATTGATTGGATTAGTTTTACGAAATCCTGATTTGTATAATGAAATATAAATAGTGTGTGAAACCTTTAGCGACGTAGATGGATCATGATGAGAATTAATATTTCACAAAGTCGAGGATAAGTACTGGCATCATTAACAAATATGTAAATAAATAGTACATCGGAGGCTGTGCTACGCGGTTGTAACGAATTAATATTAAATTGCTGTATAATGGGCTAATAACTGTGGTCATAAGTACCAATACGACAACCGTATAAAACATATCATAATCATTGCCTGCATAATTCTGTAAACCGATAAAAAGTTATTATTATTTAAATCATTTCGATTGATTTTCACGTAGCATCTTTTTCCGTCGGATTCTATTAGTTCGTTTGAATTGCAAGAAATTCATGAGACATTTTCATTGCATGGTGCCACCTGAACGGAATTGAGTCCTCGACGATGTACACAGTAATCTGTCGGAGTTGTCGCAGTATCGGTGCCACGCAAACCGCTCTAGTACCCATTGAGTATTGTTGCCTAGGGATTGAAACGTACTCGTGTATGTGAACCGACATTTCGGGAAAGACACTTCGTGGGAAAAATTTATGGCCGATACGAACGAAATGTAATTAACTGCAACGCTGTTCGCGCTAATGGAGATGGAAGATAAATCGCGAAAGGAGATTATTTGGTAGGTTTCGGTAATTTGCTGCGTTCCATGGTTAATTGGGAATATGGTAGGTAGGGGTTTATCGACCGACGATTAATTGTCTAAATATTGAAGCGGTGAACATCGAAGCTAAACAAATGTACAATACCGTCCATTAGTGTTTGGACACTTATAACATGATGCAAATCTGTGAAATATTCCACAATTATTTATAAATATTTTTATACTACATATCTATATTGATTTTTATAATATTATCAAAACTGCTTATATGAAATTGTTATAGAAGGACGTAAGTGATGTTTATTAATGAATAATATCGGTAAAAGTACTATGCCCAAAATTGAATGAAAACGTATATGTTGAATATACTGGGTGTCCGAAAAAGATGGGACCATCCGCAACATGCATATTCCTCATGCAAAGACAAATCGAAAAGTTCTTTACCGTTTTGTAACCTGAAGTAGTATTTCCGAGATATTAACAGTTAAATCAACTCCAATCAGTTGAGTGGTAGACTACACGTACGCGCAGACACAGTCAAGAAGCAGAGGTCAGCGACGTGTGGGTCGTGCGCTTCTTGACTGTGTCTGCACGTACGTGTCAGTTCGTTTAACTGTTAATATTTCGGAAATGGAGCTTCAGATTACAAAACAGCAAAGGACTTTTCACTTCATAAATTTATATTTTCATACAAATTTTGAAAATTAGCATTTTATAATATCAGGTACAGTTTGTAAAAAACAATATTAAATCATCGCGTAACTAAGATCTTTTCTTGTTTCACTGTAAATAAAGAAAGAAGCCTGTTAAAAATTTGAAGAAATCATCTAAATATAATTTGAATACGATCATACAAAGGAATTGTCATTGTACCGATGATTGAACCATAAATATAATTGTTTTAACATTTAAATTGAACGTTACAGATAATATTACTTACAACATGACATGAAAAGTCATGAATTTTATCGACGCCAATATTTAAAAAAGCACTAGAAAATATTCGACAAACGATATTAAACTCCAGGGTGTAAATATTTTATTCATGAAAACAATCGAATCGGGACGCAAAAAACATGTTCACTCATGCAACACAGTATGTAGATCGTTTCGATTTGCACAACTTTTTAACCTTTTGTGTCCAGAAATGAAATACTGGCGAATTTTTTCGGTGCTTCGTGTCTTTTCTATATCAAAGTGAGTGTATAGTATTCAAAGAACAACCAAATTTCCGGAAATCTGCGTTTATTGTGTGTTTTTTTTTTTTTAAATATTTACCTTTGAAAACGAGACAGGAAGCTACGTGGACATAGGGTAAGTGACCCAATTACGAATGGTCTCCGTATTATGGAGTTAACTATATTTCTATAAATTAAAAACACTGTATTTACACAACATCTGAAATAATTTTTTAATGAAGCTCAGTTCCCCTTTTATTCGGGTGAATTAAAACATTTTCTATTGAAACTCTTTAATTTATTAAATCGTATTCTAACAATTTCATTGTGATTCTTCAAACAGTCTAAGCGAAAGTGCTAACAAGTCTCACATGCACGAAAGTAAAGATAAATAATATACTTGCATGGAATAAAATAAAAAGAAACTTATACATACTAAATATTATACTTTTAATAAGACATTCCATAATGGATGCAAAGAAACTTTTCTTCGTTCGTTCGGTATTGTACTAAATGTCAACTATTCCATAAAAAATTCTTTTTGGGAGGTTCCAGAAAAATGGAACTTCCTAGGAAGCTTGAGAAAAAACAATGACCAATAATTTCTTATTATTTCTTAACAAAAACAAGCTCATCGGGCTAATTATCTGTCCGTCATTGGATCGCTTACCCTATTAGAACGGAATTTCGTGGAACTAAAATTTTTTCCATTACGATTCGGTTCTCGGTATTTTATTAATATTAATCCTGCCGATCAAAGGCGAACGATTTAATAGGAAACGAAGGACGATATTGCGGATATTGCTGAGTAGAACGTTTTTCCAGAATTCCGGTAGCAATTTAGCGGTTAACAAGGTTATAGGATGATGTAGGGGACATTTATAGGAATTGCTTAGACGAAGAATTGCTGCCTTGATTGAATGAAGTCATTTCGTACATGTAAGCTGAATGTTTACTTGGTCTATGCTCTGAATATTGATCCAATGCGTATCCTTCATCATTGAACAGAGTTTTTTTAAAATTCCATTTAAGTGCTTTAAAAAACTTACAAGGGAACGTTTGTTGCTCTTACACCAGAACATGAAAAATATTGTGTCTTGTAGTCTACCTAGCCCTTATGAAAAGTGAAAGACCATAGGTGTACTTTTTGTGATTTAGCCAAGATACAGGGTATAAAAATTGGTAAAATGGGCGATACTGTATAAAACGACGATTTACAATAAAACGAAAATGACGAATTAAAATAGAATAAAAATAACTTTTATTTGATTTTTTTTTATTACAAGTTCCCTACAAAAATCAATTTTTTCTGCCAAAAAACTGTATTTTGTGAATATTCTTACGATTCAATATACTAGAAGTGACATTTGTTGTTTCCCAGATTCACATGAGCGTAAAAAGCAAGTCGCTGACGGATCGTCGCATCGAATAGCTGAAGGAGTAGAACAATTGTAAAATATTTGTTGTAATCAGAAGTATAACTATTTTTTTTGCTTGAAATAAATATTACTTACATTATTACAACAATACTGAACTACGTAATCCAAATTTTTAAGGTTTACATCTCTTAAAATTTTTATCAACTTTGATACTCTGTATTTTGGCTAAACAAACAAACGGGCACCTACGGGTTTTCACTTTTAATAAGACCTAGATAGACTACAAAACGCACACAAGATTTTTCATTTTCTGGTATAACAGCAAAACATGTTCCATTGTTACAAATCTTACATTTCCATCTAAATATTTTTTTGTCATTAAGCAATATTTAGTTGTCTGGTTAAGTAATTTGATATTTTGTATCTGTTTTACGAAAGGTGATCCTTGTGACGAAGTCGTTACACGTGTATCCATTGTCATCGACGACGATAATGTTGCAAATAGCGAGCCACATTCTGGCGTACACGAACAGCTGTGTCAATCCCATTCTCTACGCTTTCCTCAGTGACAGTTTTCGGAAAGCCTTTCGGAAAATTATATACTGCAAACCACGGTCGGACCACAACAGACAACTGGGACCATTGACGAGAACTACGAGAGCTTCCAGTACTGGTGACATACTTTAGGTGAGTCATTTTTGTTTTGCTCTCCGCATACGTGAAATATCAAAGAAATTACTAAATGTAAGTCATACTTTGTCGATTTATGGGAATGTATAGAATGTAATTGTTGTAGTTTCCAGTGTTTTTAAAAATTACATCTAAGTACGTATGTTACAAATTATTGGGTCAGTGCAAAAGTTTTGATGGGTTTCACTCTAAAAGAGTAGACTAATAAATTTAATTATAATTGACTAATAATTTAATGACATACATAATGATTGTTTTCCAACTATGCATTTGCAATAAAAATTTTTATTCTAATAAACGAATTGTTGGATTATTCAGTGAATTTGTATAATTAAATTATATTAATAAATTTATAATTTACCATAGAGTGGGATTGACATTACAGCTTCTTCAAACAGATCAAAAATGATTTTTTCGGTATTTGTAACGTTTATGTCTTCCATTTTTTAATTCCTTTTTAGGAGCTCAATTTGAATTTTATTTTGAGCAATAAAACACACTCAATCGCGTAAATTTTTGTTTTAAACAACAACTCACTGTATTATTTCAACAAAACAGTGCTGATTACATCAGCTGTAGAAAATCCATCGAAACTTTTGCACTGATTCAATAGTAGTGACTCTTTAAGATCGAAGAACCTTTCGTGGTTTTTGGTACAAAAGATATTTCGAAGAATTAACAGTCCTAACACTTACAGCATGGCCAGAGGATTTTGAACTTGTATATAACGAATAGTAAATATCTATACAGATCTGCACGGCAAATTATAAAAGTAGAATATTATAATTAAGAACAGACCCACCTACTCACTTTAAGAGACAATTAGAAGTCGACACTTTGAAACCGCTCGTCAATCCTAGCTAAAATATTGTAATTAACATTTCATGGACAACAATTTCTTAGACAGGCTGCAGGACACCATAGAATTTCATTAACGTTTCAACAAACGTAATCGGATTCCAGATTCGGTCGTTTCTTTTTTCAACCAGCTAATAGAATTGAAATGCAAATCGATCTATTTGGAGTCGATTGCGACACCAGTTCCTGCTTCTACTTTCTGGATCGTCACACATTTTTCCTTAGATTTTCTGACGAGAGTGGCTGTCTTAAACTGAAATTTTAGGATAGGATTAATTACTTCGAAGGCAATTAGCCCGTTCATAATGGCGACAGAGTAAAACACATCCTTTACCGTATTCGCTCTTCGACCTCCGAAAAAACTTCCTTTGTTTCCTGGACGAGCCAGGGGGCCTTTGAAAACACATTTCTTTCTCTATCTGGCTCTCTCACTCTTTCTTTTTCGCTTCTCCAGGGCGCTACTTGTGTCGCTGTAGGCGTAGATTCTCAAGTTGAAAATCCAAGGCCATAAGGCTGCCTACGTTCGTAGGATCGTCTAGAGTCTAGGCTACAGTGGCCTCGGTCTTCCCCCGGCCGCTGTAAATTACACTCCTCGTTTCGCTCCAAATGCAATTTCCTATATTTCCCATCCCGTGTCGCAAACGAGCGTAGCGCTTGTGCGTCGGACGATTGCCGCTGGGAGTTTCGTCGATGATCTTTTGTAATCGAGGTACAGATAAACAATATCGGCGAGACACTATAGTTGACTAGAGGGTCATTTTGTCTCGCCATAATCCCAATCCGTGTGCCCGTTCCGAATAGCTCCGTGAGATAACGATCTCCGATTGGAGTAGTTCAGGTCGTTAATTAAGTTCTACGGATTTTTTACCTTTAATTTTATGCAAACATTTTACCATTATACAAATTCAAGACCTATTTGAGCTTATTGCTTTAGCTGCCACCTGTTCACCACGAATATTTTAAGAAATTTTTTACAAAGGAAAATGAGTGAAATAACAATAAACGTTAGTAATTTCAATTATCTATGCAATTGTCCATTTATTAAAGTTAGTCTAATAAAATACTCAAACAAATATATATGAAGAGAATATATTTTTACGTTCAATAATAGGATTTTATTATTTTGACTATAATTCTTATTATTTATATGTTAGAATTACATTTTAGAAAACTCTACTTCGATTGAAATATAAATTTAAATTTGGTATTAATCACGTTTTTAATAATTTATTATTTTTGAAAATGGCATAAGTATATTCGTTTAACAAATAGACTGTTTCACTTAAAGAATACTTGTAAAAATAGTCACGTAATAAAATTAAACATGTCTGGAATTTTCAAAGCGTAGAACAAGTGTAATCGCATTTAACAATATTTTTCAAGAAAATAAAATGTAAAACATAAAATATTAAGAAATGTGGACCTATACCACTTTAACAAAAATCGACTTATATGCTTGTTTTATTCCCATGTGTATAAATCAATTTATAAAAAATATGAGTATATTTCAGCACCTATAGCCTACTAAAATAATATTCGCGAAACTTTAGTTCATCCAACCGTTCTGTATTATCCTCTGAATTACTTAATCATCATTCCCCACTGCCATATTTTTTAATTATAAACGTCGCACCGTTCATTCAGCAGACAATTGTCACTACTATATTTCATGCATCACTCCGCGGAGCACGGACAACAAACTCGAGTGAACTAGTTTCTTTCCATTCTCTCGTATGTTTGCCGTCTTATTCTGCCTCATGCTTCTCATTCCCTTATCTCGCTAGCGCATTACGTTTTATGCAGTCTTACGACGCGGTCGAGAGCTTCTTTAAAAAAATGAAAGACAAAAAAAAGCGTTCGAGTTTTCAGTTCCAACTAAAAGTTACCAATTATCAGCCAACGGTGGGACAGTTTCCCGTCTTCGACACGCACGACACATTCTGTAATTGCAATTTTTACGAACTAGAACTCCTCCTTTGGTGGCTCTCGCGATATCGATCCCCCGCCCCGAGATTTCCACGCACTGCTGGCGAACATCAAAAGCTTCTCTGCCGCCCGCTTGGATCTAGGAACCGTGCACTGGTGCTTTGTTCTACCCCACCGGAGGAATAAACTCAAACGACACCCCCGTTCTCTTCGTTTTTTTTTGTCCGCCGCTGTTGTTTTTCATTCACTGTCCAGCTCCTTCGCTCTCGTCGTCTTCACCCTCAGTGGCGCTGCGCCGTGGTATAACTTACATTGCGGCGGCTTGAATGCTCGGGGACTGTGGAATAGGGCATAAATCACAAGCGCTCGCAACATCAGGGTGAACTGCTCCCGGTGGTTTTGTGGGATAAGAAAGGGGCGGTTGGTACGTACGTGGACCGACGAAATTGAAAGGGAATAGGACGGGCACTTCGAGGCCCAGGAAACACCTGTAAAACGGTCGAAACATTCGTCTTCTGACACAAGTTATTGTGGCATTACAATCATTTGATTCTAGCTTCTGTGGCCTTCTTGTGATAGTGGTCTGTCTTTTAAGAGTTTCCTTACCCTGTTTCCAATGGTTTCTACTTATCTTCTTAGCTCTATATTATGGGAAATCTTGATCGATGAAGCGATGTATTTAGGTTTGATCTCACGAAATCGCCGATATTCGAATAATTAATGCGATTAAACGCGATTAGTAAATTAAATATGGTCTACATTATTTGTTATGATAGTCGAAAGTTGTATCATTACTGTGCTTTTCTATCCAATGACGGACTGGGTCCAAAAATATTGATTCTCACGAGACAAAGGAGGGCTCACTTACATGTCATTCCACGCGAAATCGGATACTTGTTGGAACACCATTTCGGATTTTCTTCGTATTTGGATGTTGTACTCTTTAGGGATATATAAACGTATCTCGAAAGACTTGTGAAAATTTAAAAAATTGTTGATTTTACAGCTGTTTGAAATTTAGGGTTAACCTTTTTTCAATAAATCATAACTATTGAACTAACAAACTGATCAAACTGAGCTTTGCGGGAACTTACAGTGGAGACATAAGAGTACCAAATAAAAATTAGCCAATTAATTTTCATACGGCCAATTTTAAAGTGTCCATATTTTTGAACATATGTCCATAAAGAGGGTAAATAGGGCTACGTCCTCATTTTTTTCAAATTTTTAAATAGTTCCCCGGTATAAAAACAGGGCATTTATTTAAAACAATTGGAAAATAGATGGTTAAAAAATATTTTTTTTTAACTGAAATAATTTTTATTTGATACTCAGTTTGTTAGTTCAATAGTTATGATTTAGTGAAAAAAGGTTGACCCTAAATTTCAACCAGCTGTAGAATAAACAATTTAAAAAATTTTCAAAAATCCTTGCAAAATGGTTATATTATATTTTTTTCAAAATAGTAAGAAAGTGTAAATTTCAATTGCGTACAGTGAGAATATGGAACTTCTTTTTCATTTTCAAGCTACTAAAAGGTCATTATTGTTTTTAATATATTGTCTAATGTTTAAGGGTTTACTTGCCATCTGGCAAACTGACACCCTGTAATTATTCTTCTGATTGTTTAACTATCCTACGTAAATAAATAATATGGTACGAAAGGAATAGTTTCGAATACTTTCTCAATATGAATGTAAATTAAGTCACGGCAGGCTTAAGAAACAGAACATTTAATAATCGAGAGTTCATGGTTGCTGCATTTGAAGAATTCATACAATCAGAAAATGCAAGATTTTATAAAAATGGAATATATCAGATACCAGCGGTTGTTTTTCGGCCTATAGGAACGGCAGTTTCAAATGGTCTAACTTAATATTTGCATCCACTATTTGGTATGCGCTTCAGATTTTCTGGGAATCGTCGAACGTACCAATTAGTAAATTGAATGTTTTTTCTGTGTGACGATAGTGCGGCTTTAGCTCGAAATACGTGTACTATTTTTTATCAAGTCGATTGGATAGTAATGCTTCAAATAATTGATTTTTAACTCCTTACTGTTAGTTAATTTTGTTAATGAACAGGTGTATGTCTATATCAATTTACGGTTTTAATAAACAATATTGTTCGAAACGTGTGTAGATTTCTCGATCGCGTCGCGTCTGAGTGTTGATCATAATGCAGTTTCCGAGACCAGCTTCGAAACTTTTTTC